ATGATTCAGCTTGAACACTTTGGGAATGTGTTCAGATTGCTTTTTTTTTTTTCTTTTCCCTCCCCTCCCCCCCCCCCAGGTAAAACAAACAATTCCACCCTTCCACAAACAATCTAGTGAGTTAACCCGCCTTAACTCTGCTTCGGGAGAGGTTGTGAAAGGACCTCACAAGTTTCCATAAAAACATGGAATTGGTAGTATGGGTGAGAACAATTAATTCTTATACGCATTAATTAACACGGGTTGAATGCAGTGCAGTGGAGGTGTGTCAGGCAGCAGTTTGGGTTCAATACTGGTGGATTTTGAGCTGCTACCAGCCCGTGTGGGTCCAGGGCTCCCTGTCCTGTCTATGCTGGCCCCAGGGTTTGTGGTGGTAACTTCAGTGATCAGACAGAAAGCCCATGCCTAAGTCTGAAATCTCATTTAACATTTTAATGCTTTTTAGTTGTTAATGCTTCTCAGTAACTGTTAAAATGTTGTGTTTTCTTTTCCCAAAAAAGTGCAGCCCTTTCTCTAAACATGCATTTCTGGGGTCAGTTGTACATCTGCTTGGACTCCTAATTTTTGACACTTTATCCTGCTAGATGTTGACTGATACATTTTCTATTTATCTCATGATTTACTTTTTGCTTACCACTTGAATTGAGGAACATATGGCCAGAAACCACATTCTGGTTTTGTGCATTTTAATTTAATAGATATTTATTTGTATTAGTTTTGTTTAACTACCTTAAACGTACCAGATACATACAAAAGTACCTTTGGAATCATATTTTGAATTGTAAATTATTTTATGCAAGAAGCTGTGGTACTAATTATGCAGCAGGAGCCTTGCCTCTGTTGCAAAGCTCCATGTCCTGGTGGAGGCGAGCAGAGCCCATCCTTCCTGGCTCATGGACTGGCAGGGAGGCGCAAACACTGCTCTTCTGCTTTTTCAATTAAAAATGAGGAAGTCCCTGAATTAAATTAACTGGGTAAACTGGTGTGCAGACGATTTATCTTTCCTCTTCCCGAAGACACTACTTCATTGAAAGCTGCTCTCAACCATTTCAGTATGTTCTGGTTGCCAGTGGTTGAATGGCGATTTCTACCAATCCACTGCTTTAACTTTCTTGAGATATTTCTGCTCCTTAAATGGGATGTTCTAGAAATTAAAAGCAACATTTTGCTTTATATGGGTTAATAGTGTGACCTGCTAAAGTCATCAAAACTTAGTATTTGATTCTAAATCCAGCTCATTACAAAATAAAAGAACAAAAGCTTGTTTCAGCCAGATTTTTAGAAACGTGTGCAGCATCTCCCCGTGTTCCCAGTGCTGCGTGTGAGCCTGAAGCTGAGCGGGAGAGGAGAAGAAGCACCTTTTGGGTAGGGCCATGTGCTGAAGGCCAGGGTGGTGCCACCAGGGATTGCGATGCACTGTTGTGGTGGTTTCTCAGGCTGGTCCAGGTAGCGCTTGCTCAGTCTCTGTCCATGGAGCGGGTCGCTGGGCACTGCCTGGCCATGCTCAGAAACAGCCACGTGTCAAGTGGCTCGGGCTGGCCACGATGGCCATTCCTGCAGGTCACAGGGTGTGCTGCCACCCAGCCCTGCACCAAAGCCGTAAATTCAAGTCCTCAGGTCTGTGACAAGGAAGTTGTTTGTGAATTTGATCTGTTTGGGGCCAGCAGCCTGGCAGCAGTCACCTCTGCCCAGACCATGCTGTAGCTGCAGCCCCAGCCAGGCTTCGCCGGGCTTGGTGCTGAACCAAATGGAGCTGTCCCTCAGGAGTCACGACCGAGATAAACTGCTGGTACAGCAGATTTGCCAGTTTGGAAACTGGAGCAGTGTGTGAAGGTTTCTCCTAGTGGCACCTTTGGTGAGGATGGGCTTATTTAAGCATCCAGAAACCTTTCAGAGAGCCAGTCTGGATCTGATATCCTTCTTCTGGTCTGACAGATCCAAAATAGGAAGTCAGGTGCTGGCTTGCAGCAGCCCCTGAACAACCACACCACTGGTGTCCATCACTGAGATCTTGAGCATTTTTCCACATGGGCAGGCTGGGAGATGGTCTCCTTCCCTCCAAGAGCATCTTGGCTGGTGTTAAACTACCTGGATTGAGAGCTCTCTTCTCTTTGTGGTTCGTTTGTCTTTTAAAACAGAAATACCTAATGCTGGTGTGGTCACACCATCACATTTCCCTTTCTGTGCTCCTCGTGCATGTCTCACCCTTTACACTGATACATGCAGCAGCCTAGGACGGGGCAGCCCGTGAATTGCTCAGGAAAAGAAGTTAGAAAGCAAAAAAATTGTCATTAGAATTCATTAAAAAAAATAAAGTGGATGGGGGAAATAGCACAGAGCAAATGCACACCAAACGTAGAAGGTAAACAAAAAACGAAGTAAATAATACATGTAAAACTGCCAGGGGTCTTCTGGTGCTGCCTCTTCTGGTGCTGCCTGTGGGTCGCCCACATCGCGAGGTGATGCCGCAGGTGGGCCTGGGTCGGGCCTGGACTTGGGCCTTGCGCGTGGGCGCGTTTGTCCTGAGCCTCAAGTGTGGTTGCCCCATCCTGTTTCTAGCATGTCACTTGCTCGACTCCAGATACAAAGTAGGAAAAGGAGCAATGTCTGCATTAGGCGGGGTGGTAAACCAGATGAGAGGTTGTGCACGTGTGTACAAGCATAAAGTACGGCGCTGGGCTATCGGCACGCTTCGTGTTGGAGCACGCTGCCAGCACAATGCTCTCAAAGAAGGAATTTGTACCTAAAGGATACCTTGCTTACATGGAGGACAAACACTGCAAATTCAAACAATTTTCTGATTTTAAGGCTTGGTGCCAGCTGCTGACGTGCCTCCCTACTTCCCAAACCCAAATCTTTTAATTTTGGGTGGATAGCACACAGTGTTGCCGCTGGAGCAGTGCAGCCTGGTGATGGGAGGGCAGAGTTTGGCTTGGGCTTCTGCGCTGGGGGACTCCTGGAGCTCGGGAGCCTTTCTGCTCCATTCCTGTTCTGGGGCTGCTCATAGCGAGGGGCGCGGGAGGTGGCTCATGGGCTGCCCATGAGGCTGGGCTGTGCGGAAAGCTCTTCAAAGGGGTGGGCTCTGATCTGTAGGGGAGTTCGGGTAATGCTGATGCCATAGCACCCCACAAGGCTTTTGGCCTGGCTTTATGTAAAGTCTCCTTTTTATCTTTTTTTTTTTTTTTTCCTTTTTTTCTTTTTTGTACACACAGATCTAATCTTCTAGAAAATGCCCTGAAGGTTTGAGCAATCTACCAGTTGCAGGAACCCATAAAGCTTTTTTTTTTTTTTTTTTTCCCATTGTGTAAGCATGACAAATCATTAATTTTTGATTGATTGCTTTGAATTATGGGTGCTCTGACATCCTTTCTGTAGCTGAACAGCTGTATAACAAATGAACATATCAGTGCTCACAAAAGATTGGAGATCTAACAGAAGCAATTACATTGTCAGCTCCTCCCTTCTGGCTTTTCCCAGGCAATGGAGGGAGGAAATTTTTTAACAGAAATTCCTCAAGTGGCTAACAATAATAATAAAAAAAAATACCTTTTTGTAATTGAATTAGATTTTTATCTCTTCATTTCCAGTGAATTTCTGAAACCTTCAGAAGCCAGGATGCCTTTCTGCCTTGTGTAACTCAGAGAATCCCTTTGAACAAAATTTCATCCAAAGAATTAAGAAAAATAAAATCAAATTGTAATTTTTTGGTTGCTATTCCTTTAAGATTTCAGAATTGCACCAGTGCACTAAATGTGACCTCCATAACTTTTAAATTAAGAATTTATGCTGGCTTGAAATTTATGAAATATTTCAGCATGAAAGAAAGCCTTTTTCCCTCAGGAAAATTGAGCAATAAATCACAGCACTCTCGATTTACTGCCCTACAGCCAGCCAAAGATAGGATTTTTTTTCCTTCCCCCCTTCGTTCTGAAAAAAAAAAAATGTAATCATATAAGACAGCTTAGCTGCTATCCTCCCACTCTCTAGAATTTTTAATTTCAGCTGTTTCTGCTTGGATTTATTTCCAATATTCCTGCTCGGCTTTTCAATTTCCTCAGTTATTAAATTTTAATTCAGTGCATTAGCATTTAAATTAAAAAAGGGTTTATTTTATCGAAATCGTTGGCTAGCCCCCATCCTGCTGCACATGAATTGCCTGTTTCTGCCATTTGCACAAAATGTGAAATGCAGCTAATATCTTTTAACTTGTATTTGCACAAATTCAGAAATAAAATTTCTGGGTTTGGAATAATATTGTCTTTCCAAGGAAGCCTCTAATCAGAGAGCTGGAGGAAGGAGGCAGGGAGGACGTGGCGGCTCCTGCTCATCCCCTTCCTGACACTGGGAGGGCAGGACTGGGCCGCCCGCAGGCGAGCCAGGTGTGTCTGGGCAGGGAGCTACCCTGGGGGCTCCTTCCCTGCAACCCGGCCTCCAGGCAGGGCAGGGCTTGGAGGAGTCGTGGCTTGGGATGAGGAGCTTTGGGATGACACCCAGTGTCTCCATGCCCGATCCAGCCCGGCAGAGCAAATGCAAGGCACTGTGGGATTTTGGTGTAATTTTAGGCTGTCTGAGCTTGGATGCTTTGAATTTTCTTCCAGCAAATTGCGTATTTTGGCCTTGTTTTCCTCCTGCAAAGAATGGATTGTTGCTTTAAACTTGGGAGGTTTCTGGTAGAGCACAACAAAATAATCGCACAAGTGATCTCCACCAGTGCTGCCAGCCAGTTGTTTTTGGATATATCATGGGGATGGGAATAAAAACAAAAAATCACCTTCTCGGTGGAGCTGTCTCTGAAGTCCTGCCTCAGTCTCTGGAAAACTTGGTGCACCTGCTTGGATTTAAGTGCACGACACGTCCTGCCAAAATTAAACATGGAGGATGCATGTGACTCAGAATGGAAAAACTCAGGTGGCTTTGGTGCAGAAGGCACCCAAAGTGTTGGAAGACAGCCTTGCCTTTCTTGACCTAAACAGCCTTTTTTAATGTGTTTTGCCCCACAGGCCGACGAGAGCAACAGCACTGGGAGGAGGAGCTCTTCCAGCAGGTACGTGACAGTTTTCTCTTCTGCGGTGTGACACGGTGGGCAGCTGCAGCTCTGCTGGGGTGCGCTGCCCCGTCTCAGAGATGGGTGGTGAGGAGAATGAGATGGGAGTTGTTAGAGTGCAGAGGCCATACACCCATGTTTAGACTTCGCTAGAGACGGATGCAAGAAAGATAATTCTAGTCTTGGAGTCCACGAGGAGATGTGTGTGAGTGCAACGGGGGGGCCCTGTGGCCATGCCTTGGTGCAACAACCATCACAGCACGCAGCTCTGATGGAGACTTCAGTCCGTGCTGCACAGGCTGGCTGGGGAAAGGGGCCCATGGCCCGGAGGAAAGTGTGGCACAAAGGCAGGGGAGGTGCTGAGGCTGGGGCTGTCCATGCTGTGGCCTCACTACCTCCTGCCCGTCGGTGCTGTGGGGCATCTTTCCTTGCTGGGCGCACTGGGAGGCAGGAGGTGCACTATGGATGGTGCTTCTCCATCTCTGAGGGGCAGCTGGCCACCTAGCTTCCTTTCTCAGTCAGACAGAAATTAATTTTAATTGGGTTTCCTTTGGAGAGCAGTACTGGTGTGCCAGGAGGACAGGGCATGGCATGGCTTTGGTGCTGGTTGGGTTTGTGTGGTCCTGTGAGCTGGTTCCGCCTGTCAGCTGTCCACCAGCAGCACGGCAAACTCATCGGCCAGGTTTAAAAAGTTTTGTGGTAAAAATAGGTGGAGATATAGGAGCTGAGAAATGTGAGGCTGGAAACAGTGTCAGCACTGAGGTATACAGGGGAGGGGAGCACATGGTGTGGGAAGGGGAGAGGGCTGCAACAGAGAATGGAAGCATCCACGAGAGTTGGTAGGAAAGTCAGGGAAGTGCCAGCACGTGGTGAGGGGACCACCACCCACACAGGGCACGTTTGTGGGTTACATCCGTTTGCGGGTTATATTGGCATGGATGAGGGAAGATAGGCAATGGAAAACAGGAGCCAGTTTGACTGCTGTGGAAAAAGTCAGTGCAGGTTTTGACACCCGTCCTGGTGTCACCTCCATCAGCATCACCTGCCCTGTCCTCACTGCGGCCCTTTGCAGCGAGCACCAGATCCCAGGCACTGCCAGCCTCCTGCAGAGGTGGAGCTGTATTTCATGCCCTCCTGTCTGCACTACCCAGCGGTACCATCTCTCTGCTAATGGTATTCCGGAACACTTTTCTACTTCCTCCCAAGACTCAAAAGCACTAAGGAGATCTCCAAAATGCTCTGTGCGGCACTGGGTGCTCCGTGCTGCCGCAGCCACCTTTGCGAGGTTTCCAAATGAAACTGCCATTTTGCGGTGCTGTGGCGGTGCCCAGCTTTGGGCACCTCTTGGGTACCTGGTGGCTTTGGGTACCTCTTGGGTACCTGGTGGCTGGGGCTCGGTGGGCAGATTTCAGCATCGGGGAGCAAGCACCAGCATCGGATGTCTTATGCAAAGGAAAATTTAAGTTTTCCCAGCTGGGGAAAGCTCATCAGTGAGGACCAGCAGTGCTTGCTTTCAGGATGCTGGGAATTAGCCTGAACAAAGCACTGGGAGGAAAGCTGAAAATTGGCTAAGGAGCTGAGCATTGCTTGCTTCCCCCAAAGTTTTTATCCTGACTTTTGATCTGATCTTGTAGCTCTCAGTGGAGGGTTTTGCAGTTCTGGTCCATGAGCTCAGTCTCATGTGGACACAGATGTCTCGCGGGTGTCTGGTGTGGATGTCCTCCCTTCCTGGGCGTGCAGGAGGTGCCCTCGGGCTGACGACCTGAGCATCCTCTTGGGTGTGAGCCAGAGCCTCTCCAAAGGCAGGCACCCAAACTTGCAGCAGTGGCAGAACTGCTTCCAGCAGCATCACTCTTTATGTACATAGAGAAAGAGCGTGAGGCTGGCCATCACATATTTTCTTTTAGAAAAGTGGAAACAAAATCCACTTCAGCATCTGCCTGGCTGAACAAAAAATGTTCAAAAAACATTTTTTTTTTTTTAAAAAACAGTTGTTTAAAAAAAAAATGCTGTCAGTGACTGAAGGTTGAAATTTGGATTTGATGAAATCTTCTGAGGCCACTAATGGCTGGGGATACGGAGTAGTTGTTTTTTGAGGTTGTTGCTGCTTGAAACTGTTTCATTAATTGCAAGCTATCATTTTAGATTTTAAGTATTCATTTATATCAGGAAAAAGTATAAGCAAAATAAGGTTGCCAGGGCAACTTTACCTTTTTACAATTTTTTTTATTATTACTTTTTTTACTATAGCATGCTTGATATTAATGTGGTGACCATAGCATTGGGCTGCTCCTGTTTTTATTTATTTATTGTATTGGATTGATTTTATTCTGTTTCAAGTAAATGTTAAAAGCTCTGAAGGCACAGGATTTTACTGATCTTATCACCTCTATAGCTCTGATTGGGCCTGTCTGCTGCCTTTGAAATAACATTGGTTCAGCGTGCAGCCATTTTCAGCTGAGAATTAGTGGTGGCAGAAAGCGCACTCTGTTTCCTACCTTATTAACTTGTATGTGGATCCTGTACCTCACTGTATGCTAGTTAATGGGATATTTTAAAAACCAAGGAGAATTGTTAGGAGCATAGGAAAACTCTTCTTTTAAGGGAGCGAGAGGAGAGATGGCTGTTTGCCTTGGAGAAGATGACAACTAAGAGACAACATGACAAAGCTGTGCATGTTATTGAACACTCCAGAAAAGGTAGATCAGAGACTTCTTTTTTTCCCTTTTGCAAGAAAAAAAGAGGCAGTCAACAAAATTAAAAGGTAGGAAATTAAAAGCCGATGACAAGAAGGATTCTTTTTTCTTGCATGATGGGCTGTTGGAGCTGTTGGAGCATATTGTCAAGAGCTGGGCACTCGAGTGGCATTCAGGAGCTCAAACAGGATGTCATCTCTAGGAGACAAGGCTCACCTGGGTGACCCATGGTGACGTGGGTCTCTCTTCTGGATAAGAGATGTTTCCGGGGGATCAGTTACCCTGCTGCTGTCTGTGGAAAGTTCCTTTAACCTTCTCCTGAAGCCCCTCCTGAGAAAGGGAGATAGATCTGGAGTCACTCGCTGTCTGCACGCCAGCCTTGTAGGGCTGCGGACCTCAGGGTGGCTGTTGGGAATCCTCACGACACCATCACAAGGCAAACTGCTTACCAATAATTAATGTCAGCATTCAGATGGTGGGCTCTGGATCTCGACAAGAAATAATTGAAAAACCAAATGTGCAATTATGTCTGACAAGCAGCGTGTGCTTTTCTTGGTCACCAGAGCCTTGTGTAGTCATGTGTTAGACACGGTTTTATATAATTATTACTGTTTATGTGGTGGGTGTCAAAGGAAGGAAGATTTTTAGTTTCAAGTCCTCCGTTGGCTATTTATTTTAAAGTCATTAGATTTGTTTTCAGACTTAACTACACTTAATGTGTGAGACTCCTGCTGAATAAATCAGACCCTGATATAGGAACTGCATCTGTTTGCGGAGGGAACGGAGCCAGCTGGAAGCTCAGCCCCCGTCTGCACGAGGGCTGTCACCAGCCAGGGAACCCGCTTGCAGCACAGATGTAGCTGTGCAGAAAATCCTGCTTCACTCCCCAAACGGAGGTAAATCCCAGACCTGCTGGGGCTGTGAACTGGCTGTGAGAGCCTGGATGGGTCTTGTAGTTACTGCAGCATTTCCCAGCACTGTTGTAAGGGTCCCAAAGACGGTGGGAGCTCTCTTGGAGGTGAAGCTTCAGCAGAAGGGCTGTGCGGGACATAAGCATTTCCAGCGGCTCCTTTGGCTGGGATGTCGAGGTCTCCCAGCTCTGACGTGGTGCACTTTTCCCTAACACGTCATCAGAGCAAGCTGTGGTGCTTAGGTGCTCTGGCAGTTTTGGTCTTTATCAAGAAGATTGTTGTCAGGAAAGGTCATGTGTTTTAGTAGACCAAGATAGCTGGAAAATACTAAATATGCTGCTTTGTTTCTCTTCACCAGATTTTAGTTTGTAGTTTTACCTCTTAAAAATTATGTGATTTCAATAAGATGTGTAAATAAGACTATTTCAGTAAGATGTTTCCACCTGGAGGAGAAGGTGCCAAGACGTTCTTGCACCTACTTTGCTCCTTTGCCTTACTGGTGGTATCTTTTCTCCTCCTTCCCTCTCTGTGCATTCTGTCCTTTGCAGACACATCTTCATGTGCAGTTCTTTTAACCCAAAGGGAGGTTTGCCAGGGATGACACCAACTCTTCTGCAGGCTCCTCTTCCACCTGACCAGTCCTCACCATGTCCCCAGCTTTCAGGGAGGAGGATCTCCAGGTGTGGCTAAGCATGGGTGGGCATCCCTGGGACATGGTTCTCTGAACCTCTAAAGAAAGTTCTGCACCCCACGAAGGGATGTGTGTGAGTGTTTCTAAGAAGCCAAAGTATTTAAACTGTTTCCCCTTCCTTTACAAGGCCACCTGTGGGATTTTCAGTCCCAGAAGAGCTTAAGATACCCTGATCCTGCATCAGAAAGAGACAAAGTATTAATAACCAGGCAAGGTATTTAATAAGTCTTGGTGCTCTCTGAAGGATTCTCACCAGCCATCTTCAAAAAGGTGCAAACAAACCAACCAGCCGACCAAAAAGGAACAAACCAACCCCCCAGAAATCCCCACTATCTGATTTAAGAGAAGTGGACAGTGGTGTTAAGTTCTGTGCTGTGATGAAGACAAAAACTGTGGGAAACCTATGCTGCTTTCCTTGAAACACAGATCAAGGTCAAGGTGCCATAGGTGTACACGTAAAAGATGAGACAACAGTGCATAGAGCATCCCAGCGCCCATGGAACCGACATGTTTTCTGCATAATCCATGCCAATTTGCCAAGCCAGACCCAGGAAAGCCTCTGATGGTTTGAGGTGGAGAAATGTGTCTTTCTGGAGATGTGAAGTACTGAGACGCAGTAGCAATATTGTCTTGGGCAAAGCTAAGTTACCAGGACATAATTTTTCTTAGGTCATTTGCTCTCGTGACCAGCTTGTGGTTGTT